TAAGCTCTGAGTATCATCAGATTCGAATTAAGGCTGGAGATATTCAGAAGACTGCTTTTAGGATGAGGTATGGTCATTATGAGTATTTTGTGATGTCGTTCAGTGTGACCAATGCACCTGGTGTGTTTATGGAATACATGAATACAAATTTTCATCAGTATTTAGATCAGTTTTTTGTTGTGTTCATTGATGATATTTTGATCTATTTAAAGAGTGAAGAGGACCATGTTGAGCATTTGATGATTGTGTTATCTGTGTTGAAAGAGAAGCATTTGTATGCGAAACTTTATAAGTGTGAGTTTTGGTTGAAGGAAGTGAGTTTCCTTGGTCATGTGATTCAAGGGGTGGTATTGTTGTTGTTCCATCTCAAATCGAGGTTGTTTCTCAATGGGAAGCTTCGAAATTTGTTTCTGAGATTAGAAGTTTTCTTGGTTTAGCAGGTTATTATCAAAATTTTATTGAAGGTTTTTCCATTTTCGTGTTACCGTTGATGCGGTTGACTAGAAAGGGTCAAGCCTTTATTTGGACTTCGCAGTGTGAATCTGGTTTTCAAGAGCTTAAGAGAAGGTTGACAACCGCTCCTATTTTAATTTTGCTGAATTCGTCAGAACCTTTTGTATTTTATTGTGATGCTTCTTTGATGGGTTTAGTAGGCGTGTTAATGCAAAATCAGAAGGTTGTGGCTTATGCTTCAAGGAAACTTAATATTCATGAGAGAAATTATCAGACGCATGATTTAGAGTTGGCCGTAGTTGTGTTTGTCTTGAAACTTTGGAGGCTTTATTTGTTTGGATCAAGGTTTGATGTGTTTAGTGATCACAATAGTATGAAATATTTGTTTGATCAGAATGAGTTGAATATGAGGCAAAGAATATGGTTGGAATTCTTGAAGGACTATGATTTTGGTTTGAACTACCATCAGGGTAAAGCTAATGTTGTAGTTGATGCTTTGAGTATGAAGTCTTTGCATATGTCGATGTTGATGGTGCAAGAGTTGGATTTACTTTACTTGAGCAATTTTGAGATTTGAGTTTAGTTTGTGAAGAAACTTCTTTTGGTGTTAAGCTTGGTATGTTGAAGCTTACTAGTGGTATTCTTGATGAGATTCAAGAAGGTCAGAAATCTGATTTGAGTTTAGTTGATCAATTGATGATGATCAATCAAGGACGAGATGATGATTTTCGGATATATGAGAATGGTATTATAAGGTGTCATGATAGAGTTTGTGTTTCAAATGTGGGAGATTTGAAGAAGATGATTCTTGATGAAGGACATCGTAGTGGTTTGAGTATTCATCCTGAAGCTACTAAGATGTATCAAGACTTGAGGAAATTATTTTGGTGGTCAGGTATGAAGAAAGATATTGTAGAGTTTGTGTATTCTTGTTTGATATGTCAGAAGTCTAAGATTGAACATCATAAATTGTCTGGGTTGTTGCAACCGTTATCCACTCCTGAGTGGAAGTGGGATAGCATTTCTATGGATTTTGTTTTGGGTTTTCCGAGGACTCTGGGTAATTCTGATGTTGTTTGGGTTATTATGGATAGATTGACGAAATCTGCTCACTTTGTTCCGATTAGGATGGATTATCCGATGCAAAGGTTTACTAAGTTGTATAGTGAGAAGTTTGTAAGTTTGCATGGTGTTCCGTCGAGTATTATTTCCGATAGAGATTCGAGGTTTACTTTGAATTTTTGGGAAGGTTTGCAAAGTGCTTTGGGTATGAAGTTGCATTTGAGTTCAGCGTATCATCCGCAAACAAATGGTCTGACTGAGAGGATGATTCAGTCACTTGAGGATCTTCTGAGAGCTTTTGTTTTGGAGAAAGGAGGTGCTTTGTATAGTTACTTTCCTTTGATTGAGTTTACTTATAACAATAGTTTCTATCCAAGTATTGGAATGACACTGTTTGAGGCTTTGTATAGACGAATGTGTATGACACCTTTGTGTTGGTAAGAATTTGGTGAGAGTGTTGTGGTTGGACCTGAGATAGTTCAATAAACTACTAATAAGATTAAGATGATTAGATAAAAGATGAGGATTTCTCAGAGTCGTCAGAATAGTTATCATGATAAGAGGAGGAAAGCGCTTGAGTTGGAGAAGGATGATCATGTATTTCTAAGGGTTACTCCGGTAACTGGTATTGGTAGAGTTTTGAATTCGCGTAAGTTGACGCCAGATTTCCGAGAAAGTAGGTGAAGTGGCATATCGGGTTGCTTTGCCACCGTCACTTACTAATATGCATGACGTGTTCCCTGTGTCTCAGTTGAGGAAATACATTGCGGATTCGTCTCATGTTGTCCAATTAGATGATGTGCAAGTAAGAGATAATTTGATTGTTGAGACATCGCCTATGCAGATAGAGGATAGAGAAGTGAAGAAACTCTGAGGTAAAGACATTTCTTTGGTGAAAGTGGTTTGGGTAGGACCGGCAGATGGTAATGTGACTTGGGAGCTGGAGAGTCGGATGAAGGATTTGTATCCCGAGTTGTTCGTTGAGGTAATTTTCGAGAACAAAATCTTTTAAGTGGGGAGAGTTGTAACACCCTGATTTTTATTTGCTATTATCTAATTATTTTATTAATTATTATATTATATAGTAATTTATTTAATTGTGTGATTTGGTGAATATTAGAATTATTTGAATATATGTGTTATTTGAATGATTGGAGTTATAAGTAAGAATAGTAAATAATTAGAATTGGGCTTTATGTCATAGTAGAATGGGTAAGTGGAATTAGGCCCATTAATGAAATAGAGTAGTAAGAAGAGGGATTAGAATTAGTGTTGTCATAAAATAAAAACAAAGAAGAGAAGAGAAGAGGAGAAAGAGGAGAAAAAAGGAAAAGTGAAGAGGCAACCCTAAAGATGCTACACTCAAGGTAAGGGTGAGAATCTAAGTTATTATGGGAGTATATGATGGGTAATAACATTTAATAGGATTAGGTATGTGAATTTCTAGGTTTTGAATCACCCAATTTAATTTAGGGATTTGGAAATCTAGTTTTTATGATACAAATAGGTTCCCTATAATATATACAAGCTAGAATATGTTTATTTGGTGATAAATGAGCATTAGAACATGAATTGGTAGTGAAATTTGTGCTTGGACAGAATGTTGTCCGCATCAATTTTTCTGGTTTTTGCAGAGGGTGCTTAGCGCGGCTTATGACGCTTAGCGCGGTCTACTGCAAGTTAAAAAATTATATTATGCATAAATGAGATTGGGATATTGTATGTTATGATTTATCATGGATTTACATATATTTTAATAATTTATTTGACTCGATTCAGATTGGTTTTGGAAGTGTTTTGATGAGAAACTTAACACTTGTGTTGTGTATGTAAGTGTTGGAATTTAATGATGTTTGAATATAACATAGATTGTATCTAATTGTTACATGTTATAATGATATGTTAAGATGATTTGTACTATGAGATTGTGTATATGTGATTGATTGGCATGAAAGATGTATGTTGTACAATGTTGTGAAGATAATTTAAAATGTGTTGAATTATGTGATGGGTTGTTGTGATAAGTTGTTGAGATTGCACATGTACATGCATCATTTATGTCAAGAGGCAAGGTTTGGTAATTCTGTGGGAACTATTGACTTTTCTCAAACCTAACGCTTAATGGGGTTTGAAAGCTTAAGGCTGAATCAAGCTTTTATTGGTGGTTATCTGCCTTAGAGATGTGGACCCGGCAGGACTGGTAAGGATAACATTTGGTACCACATGCATAATGCATTTGAGTTTCATTGGAGTCCCATGTGTCGGTGTGAATTGTTGATTATTGTGCATTATGTGATGTCAGTGTGAATGTTGTGGTTGATGCGAAATCTGTGATGATTTAATTGATTGATATACTTGTGATAATGGTGATTGATTACATTTGAAATATGAATGAATGAGCTATGTTGTATATTAGAACATGTATGATGATTTATGTTTATGCCAAATGTATGGCTATATGAAGAGTGATGAATTCATATTAGTGTATGTATGTTTTACATTTCTTATGATTATATATTTTCATAATGATATGAATTCTCACTTTTCTGTTGGAATGATGTTTTATACGATATCGCTCAGGTACCAGAGATAGAGGTGCTTCTTTCCAGGATTAGAAGAGGACCTAGATCCTTATTTATCTGCTTATTCCTAGGTTTTAAGTCATTGATCTGGTATATGTAACACGAGGGATATTCGAACTCATGTTTGATTTGTTCTGAGAGATATTTGTTATTACTCTCTTTTATTTGGATATGTATGAGATTATGTTATATTTGGCCTCAGTGCCTAGTACTTATGATATGATTGTGGGTATGGGATTTCAATCATTTATATCTTTATGTTGAGATAATTATTCTGCTGCGAGATGCATATTTTGTATTGGTGTATGAAACGTGAATTTGAATACGTGTTATGATTGTGACCAGTATACATGTTTAAATTTTCTTTATCATTTTGTGAAGTCAATTATTACTCCCCCTTTGAGGTGTATGCTAATTTACTCTGATTATGCTATTTATGTCTATGTGGGGTTAGAGGGTGTTACACCACCCGCCAAGGTGATTTCGCCTTATCAAACAAGGTCTTAACCCAGTTATCTCACAAATTACTATACTGCACAAGCTAACTGCAAGTGACTCACGTACAACCTCTAATACACACTAATCTTAGACTTCTCAAAGATTCTGACCAACTGGTCTCTTAAGGCACAATTAAACAACAGTTTGAAAAGGATTTGTTTACAATAGATTTACTTCTACACAAGCTGATAGTAAACAATATTTCAAGAACAATAAACTTAATAAAAAAAGAATGCTTATGAACAGTCTTGAGAGAACGTGAATTAACAGCCTTTTCCTTTGAGTCTTCAAGCATATAAATATCCAATAAAGTAATATATCTATTGGAGGATATTTCTGGAATTTCCAAAAAGTTGGCAGCTTGGTTTACGTGGGGGACAAGATTCTACAACACGCCTGTCCTTCATGGTAGTGGAATGGAATAATTTATTTGTACCATGTATTGTTGTACCACGTAATCCTTATATTATTTTCTTCTTGATGTCAGAGGCTTCTGATTATGCATGCATTAGAAGAAAGAAAATAAAACTTGGGTCATCAGAACTTCAAGTCTTCAGAGTCTTCAAAACTTCGTCTTCAGAACCCTTTGTCTTTCAGAAACATAAGTCTTCAGCATCTAGACTTGTTCATCAAAACTTTTGTCTTCAGATCTTCATAACTTGGTTTCTTGACCGTGTATCAGATTTCACACTTCAGAGCCTTCTGAAGCGGTTTGCTACTGTTCATCAGAACTTATATAGTGCAGAAGTGAAACTTGGTCTCTTCTAATGACTTGGCAGCGCCTTTCATCAAAAGCAGAACCTGTTTGTTAAATACTAAAAATAATAAACATTAGAGTACCAAAATTGTTCATACAAACATACTCATTGTTATCATCAAAACCCAGAGATATAATTGCAAAACTAAATCTTGTTCTAACAGGTATCTCACTATATCACACCCTCGCCTCATACCACCGACTATTGGGTCTTTCGATGTTGTGTGGTCTTCTAGTGCTAGGGTTTATGATACTGAGGTACAGGCTGACAGCGTGCCTCCACCACCCTCACCCCCACCTACCACAAATGACAATGATGACTGCCTCCAGTTGATTGTAGTTATTACGGATAACCTTATGGGTTTGGTAAACCCGAATCGTAAAGATTTTACAGGATTATCTAGGCTAGCAGACATAGCCCGTGGAGGTTTATGTAGATGTTTTATATGATGCTTTTATTATATGTATATTTTGTGACTCAGACTACTTATCACGATAGTTATTTGTTGCATAACATTTTGGCAGTTACATGTTTTAATTCGAAGATTAACATAACATAAAACAGTACAACAAACATAAATTAAAAAAAAAAACTAAACATGAAAACCTAGGTGCTACCAGATGATTCTGGATGTTTCAGCATATTGATCATGTCGTCGACATATCTTGTTATCTTCGCATCCAACTCAATCGGATCCTTAGTTATCCTATGACTAAGTGATTTCCACATGGCCTTTACATCTTCATTACTCTTTAACTTAATTAGGTTCTATTTCACCCTTACATTTGTATCAATCTAATCTTTTCAAAACTTGGTCTTTCTCACCCTTCTGTTATCGGTATCAAGGCGAAAATTCATTCAACTTGTCTTTCAAGTTGGCGAGGGATGTGGTGCCATATGGAAGCTTGAATTCAATAAGCGGATTGTTTTTGTTGAAATACACTTCCGCCTTAATCAGAAATTGAGGAAGAGATATTTCTTTAGATGTATTTCTTTATAACATATGCCCCTATTTATACAAATTTAGATTCATTCTAGACCATATAAATTTGTCGGTGCAATCAGAACTCTACAGAGATGTCGGAAAAATCCTGATCTTTAAAAAATTCTGAATCAATACTCTACCAGAAATTTCATCATACAACTAAATTTCTGGTATAGAATGGTAGATTTTGAAATTTTTGGAAAAAACCGACCCTTACTAGAAATTTGTACATAGCGGAAATATCAAATGAACAACCAAAAATTTTGTACATACCGAAAATATTCACTTATACCGGAAATTTCGTTAGGAAAAATTGGCAAAATACCATTTTGGTCCCTTGACTATACCCTTAGATTCAGTTTGTTTCCTTAACTTTTTTTCGTGCCAAATTGGTCCTTTAACTTCTTAATAGATGCATATGAGTCCCTTCCGTCTACTCTGTTAGTCAAAGTCGGTTAAAAGTCTACGTGATAACTCTTGTGACGGACTAAGCGTTGGAAAAACTGACGCTAAAAATTATTTCTGGAATTTAATTATTGTTGTTCATCTTCTTTCTGAAGTTTTTAAATGCCAACCCATAACAAAATCATAAATAGTAAATAATTAAATTCCAGAAATAATTTTTGAAGAGAAAGGAAAATACCCATTAACTGTAACATAACCATTAAAACATCAAAACCAACAACATAAACTTAAAATCAAAAAGGAAAATAGTAAGATAAAGTGGAGTATTGGATCCGAAGTTGCAATTATGTTGTCGTCGATTTTGTGTGTGAAATAGAGAAATAGAGTTTGCTTTTGTAAAATGGGTCTTGTTGTTGATTTGAAACTGAGTAAATACAAACCTGAAATCGAACCGAGCTGGAATTCCGAATGAGTTTGATTGAACACGAATTAGTTTAGCTTGGATCAGAATTGTTTGTTTTGATTTTTTCTTTGGTGGAAGAGGTGATGAATATTGGGGTATGAGAAAGAATCGTGAGATTTTTGTGTTTTTGATGTTGTTACTGGTTTTTTCTCTGTCTGTTGTAGGTTTTTTCTTGAATAAACCAATTTGATTTTGAATTGGAAATGGTGAGATGAGCTTGACATGAAGGGAAATTAGAGAGAGGATCTACATTTTCTTTGTTTTTTCAAAAATTATTTATGGAATTTAACTAATTACTGTTTATGAATTTGTTTTGGGTTTCATTTAAAATTTTTGGGAAGAAGAACAACAATAATTAAATTCCAAAAATAATTTTTAGCGTCGGTTTTTCCAATGCTAAGTCTGTCACAAGAGTTGTCACTTAGACTTTTAACAGACTTTGACTAACGAAGTAGACAGAAGGGACTCATATGTATCTATTAAGAAGTTAAAGGACCAATTTGACACAAAAAAAAAGTTAAGGGGCCAAACTGAACCTATGCGTATCGTTAAGGGATCAAAATAAATATTTTGGTGAAAAAATTATTCTTCTTTTATCAAAGACGTTTTTTGGAATTATGAAAATATGAAGAGTGTCATGTACAATTACGAAATTGTTTCTCTAACGTAAGCGGGAGAACGTTAGAGTGTCGTTCAACATATTTTAACCATTTGTTAAATCAATCCGCTCAGATAATGCCATGTGTCCACTAATAATTTAAAAAATAAATAAATAAAGGGATGATACAAAAATCTAGATCTCTTTGCCACTAATTTCATCGTGAAAACCTTGCTGCCAACTATCATATTTTTGCTATTTTCGTTAATCAATTGGTAGTGGGAATCGATTGAATATGTACTTGAACCTCAGGATACAAGGTTCGATTCCCATGAAAGGCAAAAAATCTACTAGTGAGAGAGGTAGAGAAGATCGTAAGGTAGCAGTGTCGGGAGCGCCTTGCAAGGGTACCAGGCTGTTACAGTATACCCAAATAACATGTGAAAATTCTTATGTCCAACTTTCTTTGGACTCTTTCTAGTATTCTCTATAGTCCCTCAGAAGGACTTTGTTAGCGGCCTCTTCCCAGCCGTTGGTTCGAGGGTGTTCTATCAATATGAAGTGATGCTTAACTCCAAGATCTTGAAAAAGTTTATGAATGTTTTAGTGAACAAATTGGTACCGTTATCAGTGATGACAAAATGTGGAATTCCATATCTAGCTAAGATATTTCTCTTGAAGAATTTTAGAATGTTGGTGGTTGTGATCTTCATTAGAGCCTCTAGTTCTATCAATTTGGTAAAATAATCTACAACCATAATCAAAAACTTTAATTGTCTTATAACTAGTGGAAAATAACCATGGATATCCATTCCCCTACTGCGAGAAGGATCATGCCACAATTAATGTATTAAGTTCAGATGAAAGGGCGATGTAGATCATTGAAGGTTGGCATTCAAACGCTCAAATGAGTGCTTTAGAAATGTGAAATTATGCAAGTGTGAATGAGAAGAATACGTAGTCATGACTCAGACACGCGTATGTATGGAAGGTGGTTAGAATCGTTCGTGATTGATCTTGTGTGGCAAGCAAAGGATCATTAGATGCACATCAATGATGGAAATGAACACGGGAGGCACACTCATATGTGATTCCTTAGAGTTGATATCCTCTTGTGCATCAGTTAGTGAATATCTTTGATTGTATTCAACATGTATTATTGGGCCTTTTGCCAACCCATATCAAGTACTAATATTGCACACACACAAAATAAATAAAAATACATTTCAGTTTGTGCTCGATAAAGCGAATAAAAGATTAAATGATTGAAAGTTAAAGACCTTGAAATACTTTGGAAAGTCTAGATAATTGCACCAAATACAATGTTTACTTTGAAAGTTAACTAGTGTTTCCCCTTTCATTATTGATGGGTGTTACAAAAGAACAATATAAGTAGTGGAGAGAGACAAGGGTGGGCTCCGACCCCTATAAGACAAATATAAATGAGGTTGTTTTTATTTTTATTTTTATTGAACATAACAATTATTTCAAATGTTTTTTAATATAATTTATTTTTGTAACTAATTCTCTAAAAATAAAAATAAAAAACTAATATACACTCCACACTTCTTAAATATTCTCTTGTATATTATTATTATATTATATATTAAAGTATATATATAATTTAATTTATTTGATTTAATAATTATGTATTCCTAACATTCTCTTTTATAAGTAATTTTTTACTTTTAAATTCATTAAATATTTAATGTATACAATCTAAGTATATTTTAAATATATTATTTATTAAGTGAACCTAAAAGTATAGAAAAAGAGAATGGAAGAAATATATTACAAGAAACTGCTAACAATGTTAATTTGATTTTATAGTGGCTGGGCTCAAATTTGTTGGCCCTCTAAATTTAGAGGATTTAACTTGTCATCCCTTATTATACCTAACATCCCTCCAAATGATATAAAAAGACCATAATAACACAACACAAGTTTTCTGCCATTTTGCGAAATTTACAGTTGAGAATTGAAAAATTCGAAAATCCAAGGTGATATAGGAAATTGTTTAGTAAAACTAAGAATTTCCGCTATTTCTTAACAAAAATTTCAAAAAAAATCGATAGTTTTGTAGTATATTTTATCAAAAATTTTGAAAATTCTGGTAGTTCATGATTTTTTTAAATTTCTGTAAATTTTGAAATTTTCCGGTAGTTCATTTTGTAACAAATTTTTTTGCCGTTTTTTCATTTTTTTTAGTGAAGACCAAGGGTAGGGACGGTTCCATTAAGAGCAAGTTGGTTGATAGAGAAGAAGCTCGGGCCAGGGATGATGAGGCATAGGCTTTCCAAGTACGGGCTGGACGACATGCTCTGACTGATTCTCACCGGAAATAGATGGTTGAGCAGGCGCAAGGACAGTTCCGTGCACCCTGACTCCGAGATGCTAGGGTCTCTACTGTTGTGGAGGTACTTGCTCTTGTGGAGGTAATTATTGCTGATGAGGTACCTCTTGAAGAGGTTGCTATTGAGAAGGTTGCTATTGAGAAGATTCATGTGTTGACTGAGCAAGTTCCTGATGCTGATTAGGTGTGTCCCACTGATCCAGACGTCAGTGCTCATTCTTCTATAGAGCCATATTTTCACATAGATGGAGCCTTTAAGGGAGGACCCAGTGATCAATCTGTGCTCACAGGGTATGTTGACCATGTTACATATAAAGTGTGGCAGAGCGAGGTATATATGTTATATTTTTTTATTCCAAAACATTTATTATGGCTCAATGAATTGTTGAAAGTTTATTGATACTTTTTTTACCTTTATTTCGTACAGGACCGTCTGACGCTGAAGGTCACATCTCATGATTCAAAGTTGAATAACTTCCCAGAGGAACCGATGCTTGAGCCGGTTAGGTGTATTGTTTGTGATTTTAGTTTCCTGGAGTTCGCTGACTGCTCATTGACCATGCTCGATGCCTCCCTTTGTCAACTTTTATTGAGCGGTGACACCCTGAGACATCATCCTTTCATCTTTAAGTTGGGGAGATAACTATCACATTGGATGATGTCTCCTCATTGTTTCATCTCCCTATCGCTGGTAGATTCTTCAATGGTCCTCATATTAATTAGACGACAACATTGATACAGGTTGTAGAGGATATACGTGTCATTGAAGATATGGTGTTTGTAGAGTTTAATAGAGGATTTCACCTTCAGATGTCTTGGCTGCGGGACAGGTACCAGAAGCTTGTAGAGGCAGAGAGGTATGAGGTTGCTCTTAGGGCGTACATGTTACATCTAATAGCATGCACTCTTTTTATGGACAAGTCAGGTGTTTATATTGATATTCGATACATGTGGTTGTTCAGTAGCCTAGAGACTCCATGTTGGGCTTGGGGAGTGGCGATGTTGACCATGTTGTACATAACACTTGGAGTTGCTTTCCAGCCTGAGACCAGACAGCTAGCTGGCTATTTGAGCCTATGACATGTATACTAACACTTTTTTGTTAGTTTTTATTTATTTATTTGAGTCTATTAGTTATTTGTTGGATGTCATATTAATTAGTTTTTATTTATTCAGTGTTAGATATACGAGCTCCCCCCCTCCCCCCCCCCCCCCCCCCCCCCCCCCACACACACACACACACACATATGTGAGAGAAGACAATTACGTGTCCCATCGGATGCTCCATGGAAGAGGAGATGAAAGGGCAGGCAAGCGGTCAATGGTGGTGTTGCAGAGTACATGAGGAGACTTGATGCTCTGACAGTAGAGGATGTCGTTTGGACACCATATATAGTTCATCGGGCCTATCGTCCATTTGACGACGCTTCCTTGTATTCAAGGCATATAAGGCGGGAGACCCACGTGTCTAGACAAATTCCTGAGAGGTGTCTGCAACAATATGGTTATGTCTAAGGCATCCCTCTTCAGTTCCAGAGCCTCCAACCGGCGGCATTGACAGATGATTTTAGAGTAACATCGTCAACTTTACATGTGCCATTAGGCATAACACATTTACAGTACAACATCCTTCACAGTGCGAGGATGGTTACCTTGAGTGATATCTCACTATATCACACTCTCGCCTCATACCACTGAATGTTAGGTCTTTCGATGTTGCGTGGTCTTCTGGTGCTAGGGTTTATGATACTGAGGTACAGGTTGATGTGCCACCACCACCACCACCTTCACCTGGCACAGATGATCAGGATAACTGCCTTCAGTTGATTGTAGTTATTGCGGATAACCTCATGGGTTTGGTAAACCCGGATAATGAAGTTTTTACATGATTATTTAGGCTAGCAGAAATAGTCGTATGGGTCTATGTAGATGTATTATATGATGCTTGTATTATATGTATGTATATTTTGTGATTCAGACTACTTATCACGATACTTATTTATTGCATAATATTTTGGCAGTTACATGTTTCGATTCGAAGATTAACATAACATAAAACAGTACAACAAACATAAATTAAAAAAATTAAACATGAAAATCTAGGTACTACCAGATGATTCTGGATGTTTCAGCATATTGATTATGTCGTCGACATATCTTGTTATCTCCGCATTCAACTTGATTAGATCCTTAGTTATCCTACGACGAAATAATTTCCACATGACATTCACATCTTCATCGGTCTTCAACTCAATCAGGTTATATTTCACCTTTCCATTTGTATCAATCTAGTCTTTCTGAAACTCAATCTTTCTCACCCTTTTGTTATCGGTATCAGGCAGCAATTCATTCATCTTGTCTTTCAATTTGGCGAGGTATGTGGTGCCATATGGAAGCTTGAATTCAACAAGAGGATTATTTTCGTTGAAATACACTTCTGCCTTAATCAGAAATTGAGGAAGAGATATATTTTTAGATGTTTTCTTTATAACATATGCCCCTATTTATACAAATTTTGATTCATTCTATGTCACACAAATTTTTCGGTGCAATCAGAACCCTACAAAGATGTCGGGAAAATCCTGATCGTTAAAAAAATTCTGAATCAATAGACTATCAAAAATTTCATCATACAACTAAATTTCTAGTATATAATGGTAGATTTTGAAATTTTTAGAAAAAATCGACCCTTAGCAGAAATTTGTACATACAAAAAATATCAAATGAACTACCAGAAAATTTTGTCGATACCGAAAATTTTCACTTATACCAAAAATTTCATTCGAAAAAAATCTTCTTCTTTTATCAAGGACATTTTTGGAATTATAAAAATATAAAGAGTGTCATGTATAATTGGGGTGAAAAGTTAAAACCTCTTAAATTCATATCCTCCAAATTCATAATTCATAACTTTAGTGTGTGTTTGGATTGACGGTGGATAGAATTAATTCTAGCAAAATTGAGTTTGATAGAATTGATTTTATCATAATTGAATTTAACATAATTGATTTATGTTTGGATACATTTATTTAAAATTGAGTTGAACAATAAATTTCAATGTAAAAACCATTCAGAATCAATTCTGGATATAGAAACTATAAATTTTAGCTTCAAGGAGAATCAATTCTACTTTTACTTAACCAAACATTTCAAAATCACATAGAATCAATTCTACGCTTTTAAAATTGCTTTTGATCATTCCAAAAAGCAAACCAAACATGCACTTAATATTTAATAGATTCTCAATCTATTAGAGTTGTCAAATTTTCACCATGCTACAATCTAATTTGTATTGTTATTTGTAGAGGTTTGTAGTCTATTTGTTTTTAGGTTTAGCCTCTTTTATTCACCTATCATTATAAAATACAAGTAGGCATCAACTTAAAATATTTCTACTTTTATTTACCATAAAATATATTTCGACTTAATAACTATTTATTTGTCAAAAAAAAAAGTTAACTTACAATAATATTTATGATTTTAATATAATAAAATACTAGTAATAAAGAAATTTGACTTTTGAGTTAGAATTACATTAAGTGCTTGTTTTCTTAACCTTTGAATGCGTATTATCTTTCAAATTAACACAAAACTAACCCAAAGTGGTTGCCACCTGCCTGGATTAAATTATTTGAGGTATGCAAATCAAAACTTGGAGTGAGGGTTCAGGTGGAGGAAGATATTTTTTTCATCAATACGATCCTGACTTTACACACCATTCACTTGCATGCGGAAAATGTATGTTCTATATCTGAAAATATGTTCAACTAGACAGATTTCTTCTGAAGTTGTCCATGGTTTAACTCTCTCTTGCAATGTGGATGAATGTGATTGCAGCATATTAATACTGATCATTACATTATAACTATAGATTTACTACCAAAGATGTACAACATAAAATCAACAAATCTATTTCTCATATATCTAAACCTTGGGTAATGTAAAATATTGAAGATAACAGACAAGTGTAGTAAACATCCAAAAAACAAGTGTTTATAGATTTCAATTACAAAAGGCACAGATTATTTAGCATGAAAACAAAAACATGTGTTTAAATCCTCCATTTGCATCATATAGAAAGGTTTTTGTATAGAGATAAACTTGTTGTAACTGAACTCACAGGAACAAGTATTTGAATTCTCCATTTGCAAGCTGACAAAGCTTATGGTAGCTGAACATATCTGCCAACACAGAAAAAAAAAAGAAAAATCAGAAAAGACAACTAAATATTCTTAGAAATTTGCCCTAAAGGGAAAAGGGAATAACAAAACAATACCAATTTCATCACCAAAGTTGGTCCATAACTCAGCTTTGATGGACTTGTCACTGCTAACAATACCGATGACTTCAACAAAAGGTGTATGAGGAGCTGGTAGGGGTGAATCAGGTGATGTTTTCACAACAATCTGCTTCTCATCGGGTGATTTTCCAATGACAAGTACACCGTCAGATCGGACAACTTGAATCACAGTGCGAACCCTTCTTCCAACACAAAAGGGTAACAGTTCCGTGTTGACAAAGACTGCAGGGCTTAGTGAATCCATATTCTGCAATATTCAACAAGATTACCAGATGATTTGGATTTGAAATATATTGTTTGTATCACAGTTCATTTGCACTTTGTTTACATCTAAAAATTGAAACAATGATAAGTAAGTAATCCCAATTAATGAATTTCTTCCCTTCAGTTCCATCAACAATAAATTGAATTAAATCCTATCAAATTAAACTAACAACACAAATCAATGACAGTAATTGTTCAATCAAGAACGAACACCACAGTACTATCATGCTAAGCAATTTCGAAATCACAGTTTAGCAACATAGCAAAGAGTAATCGGTGATTGTGCATAATTTTCCATTTGAAACACGGGAAGAAAAGCATCTAATATGGTTTGTTAGAGTACGGAAAGATGAATCGGAAGGATTGTGAAAGGTTAGTTACCAGATTGATTCGGTCGGTTGAAATCTGCAGAATTGCTGAAACACGAGAGCAGCCAGCTAGAGAGCGCGCCTTTTTCTTTCCACAATCTTCCGTTTCACTCCCTCCCTCTATTTATAACACAAGAATATTTTCAAAATTTTGCTTCTTCCTTTTTATAATTATTTTTATTACGGTTTAATTAAATTTTTTAGATTAGATGATACGTACTCAATTAAAAAGTAAATCTAAATTTAAATCATACAGCATATGTTTAATGTAAATATTAGTATTATTTACAACCGATTATTAATTGATTTAATGGTGATGGGTGCAAGTTTGACCCTGTGCAAAAATAACAAACTCTATAATACATAATCTCAAAATTTGGAAGACCCACAATTCGTGAAAAATCCTATGTTTTTTATATTAAAATTAATAAACATAAAAAAGTGACAAAAAAATTCAATAAATTATAAAATGATATAATAAAAAATTCAATACATTAAAAAAAATGAGATCTAACTATAATTAAATCTTTTTTATTAATATATAATTATATTTTTTATGTGTCATTTTTAATTATTATAGTTATATTCTTTTTCTAAAAATTTGAGCTTCTTTTTAAAATTAAAATGGAACCTCTAGTTTGATTGAACCGATGAAAGATTTGATAGAAAGGACCACTTGCAATGTATCACAATTAGTAAACTTGAATAAAGTTCATATTTTTGTTTGATAAAAACTCTTTTTTTATCCTTTTAGATTTGAAAGATTAGATAGTTTAATTCTATGATTTTTATATTTGAAATATCATTATCTAAATGAAAGAAAAAAAAGGAAATAAATGAATCTAACATATATAGACAAGTTATTTTAATGTAAAACTGTCACAAACTCTTGTTAGATTGAAAGTGTTAAAAGAGAAAGAAAGAAATTTACCTATTTATTCTCATCCATTTTTGACATTTTAGTGTTCTATCATTTCATTGCATCTTTTGACCTCTTACCCCTTTCCTTTGACAAATTTGTAATCTATCCACATTAATTTTTCACCTATAGTTCGATAAATATTACCATTTATTCATTCAAATACCCAGAAGAGCTAATAGTTCGATAAATATTACCATTTATTCATTCAAATACCCAGAAGAGCTAAATTAATTTCAAAACAGAGATAATTAATACACAGGACTGAAGTTTGTTCATAAAATAAAACAGAGTTCAAGGACCATGTTCTGGTCTAGTAACAGGCAGATGATGCAAATTCTAATTTTAATTATAATCTAATACATTTCCGGATTGCAGGAAATCTTCATTGAAGATTCTTAAACCATCCTTTTCCCAATTACATGCCATTGGATTTTGGCCATCCATTATATGTATTTCAAAAATTCAAATGAGAGGACAGAGTCAAGCTTGCAAGTTAGAAAGTCAAATACTTCTTATATTTGCACATTCCGCGCTTACATCTTATTTCGGCCTAAATTTCACCAAACTGCATAACAACAATCGTTAATATATGAATTGATCTAATAATGGAAGGCAATCATTTTAGATTAAGAAAGCTAAATAAAACCAGCTGATTGTTTGTGACTGTTGATCCAAATTCCAAACTCTCCCATCATATTGTTGAGCGTCAACATCTTTAGAAAGTTTCAGTTTTTGCTCCCGCGAGGACGTGGCCTCGAAGTTGAGCCTGGAAATAGCTTTCTTGAACCTGCTTTCTTTCTCCTCCTAGCAGTGCCAGGTGGAGCCTAATTTGCACAGAATACAGAAAGCAAAATTCATCAAATGTTTGATACACAGCATGCATAGACACAAGCATAAGATTCACCAATGATGATTTTGCATTTTGTTCTTTGTTTCTTCTCTTTCTCCTCATCCATTTTTTTAAACATTCAGATTGCAAATTATTTCATTACTTCACTAGGATATTTTGCGGTTAAAACCATGTAGAATGTTAAAACTAGTATAAGTATTGAATCACCTTTTCCTCTGTTTTAAGTGCTTTCTCAAGATCATTAAGTGTTGGCATTGATCCACCTTCCATTACACCCATTAGATTCTTCATCTGAACACGCATTTTAAATAGTTGAACTACGAGTAGGGTTACCTAACATTATAGTTGTGCATTTCTCTAAGTTAGAATGTATATCATCAATACAGAAACTGCAGCTCCGAAAGTCGCTAAGACAAAGCAAAATTTGAAAGAAAAACCATTCTGCTTACCTGCTGCTCTGTCTTCCCTGATTTCTGAGCAACTCTTTTCCTCCTGACAGGGGACTCTGCTAACAGTTCTGGTTTTTCCCTTTCCTCTGGAAATAAACATGAAAGGCTGGTAAGCAAAATAAATAAGTTAACAGAAAAAATTATGAACGATTGAAAATTGAACAGATTATGACATTTTTTATTTGCTCAAGATATACTCCCATGTTAATAAACAAAATTACATAAATATAAATATGATCGAGTCATTTTTGTTTCACAGATATGAATGCATTTATTAGTATAAAGAAAGGACCAGGGGACATTGCTTCTATTATCACTTCCATATTCTGCAAATTCTTCTCTGCTTCTCGAATTTGAGCAGGAGTAACCTGTAAGCATGCAGGTGAGATGATAAACATTCACAGTATATAATCAAAACTGGAAATATAGGAAAAATTTGCAAATGCAATCAATGCTCAATTTTAAGGTTCATAGACCAAAATTGGTAAATAGTATATAATTGACTACTTTGTTCCAAATTGCTATAAGGCACCATATGCATGAAATTGTCATATATAAAAATAGATATATCTAGGATAGTTCATATGCTGGTCCATACCTTTGCCATACCAGGAATCATCCCAAGGACTCGAGACACTGGACCCATTTGTGCAACAGTACGATTTTGCTTTAGAAAATCATTAAAGTCAAACTTTGCACTCATGATCTTCTTTTCCAGGTCTTCAGCATCTTCTTGACGCATCTATAATAAATGCAGTTCATAACTGAATATTTTATTTCTCATTCTTTATCAATGACAGTACAGAAATATAGGAAGACTTACAACTTCTTGTGCCTTTTCCACAAATGAAAGAACATCTCCCATTCCTAGTATACGTCCTGCCATTCGGTCGGGGTAAAAAGGTTCAAGATCTTCCATGCGTTCTCCCCGTCCTACCAGCTTAATTGGCTTTCCAGATACCTGCCATCACGGAATTACCCAATTAAATCAAATATATAAGAGAAGGGAGAGAGCTTCAAATGTTGGACTGAATCAATCACATTACAGTTTCAAATAGGGTTTAGAAACCTAGGCAAAACTGTCACTTAAAAATTAACAAAATATATGAAGACCTCTCATAGCTGAGGGCCAAAATCTATATATTCATAAACTAAAAACAACATCAGTATATTTTGACTCTGAAATATTTCTTCAAAATATATTTCTAATTCAATGTAATTCTAATAAATTTATGGAAACATACATTTCAATTGCAGATCCTCCAATGAAACGGAAGTTGTTAGGAAAAATCTATAGGGGTTACCAAGTTTATATCTGAGAAGATTTGTAAATAACATTTCCCTAGACACCTACAACCGCTTATTAGAGGCGAAATGCAGCTGACACATTCCATTTGCCCTAAAAGTGTTTGTTAACATTTAATTGTCAGTCCTTTAAGTTTTTTGGGAACATTTTACTAGATTGACTCTCCACAAAAATTATCATAAAACTTTTTTATGTCATTTTGAAGATAAAACATCAAAGACGGTGGAGGTTAAGCTGTAAAACCGGTTCCTTACGATTTCTAGCTTTGTGTCATCATAATGACATGAACCAACCAGTATTGAAAAGAAAGACTGAAGGAAGACAAGATCTTAATAGAGAACTCCTCTATTTACAACTCCAGGCTGATTCGATAGAGCCTCGCATCTCCAAACAAATTATGAGTCACTCACCAATTATCTTCAAATGGAATTCCTTCGTAATTCTTATTTATGGAGCTGACTCCTACCCCTGTTACTAATTATTAACAGACAAGAGGTCCATTAAGGCCTATATCTATGACAAACTGACACAAAGGATCATAACAAAGTGCAAGAACTAGAAGGAAGATAAAATATTTTTGGTCCTCGTGCACCTATTAATCATATTTTGAAAATTAAAGGAACTAACTTTCAAAAGCTTGTAATGTTGAAAATTCTGGTATAGAAGGGTAACAGTTGGTTAAGAGTTAAGACGAGAATGAATGTAAGATAGCAGCAGTGTATGAAAGACTGAAAGTAAAATATAAAATATAAACATTTCATGGGCTAAGATAAGGACAAGCAAACCTCTTTGACACTCAAAGCTGCTCCACCTCTTGAATCACCATCCAGCTTTGTCAAGATGGCACCAGTTATTCCAATCTCAAGATTGAAAGTAGTCACCAAAGCTGTTCACAAGAAAAAAATAGTAAGTCTGAATTTTGGGTTGGTTTTGGCACAAAATTATAAGTAAACCAAAGTAAATATTTTTCTTATGGTTTCTCAAGGTGTCATCAATGGACAAATGCAGAGACTAATTCCTTTGATGATCTATGGCACATTTAATGGCTATCTCTCTCAAATGATGAAATTCCATAAGCACAAGTCAAGGATTAAACATTTAAACCTTTGACCATATGCTTAAGGAACTTGAGCCGCTTCCCCCTCAGACCGCACCAGTTTGGTAGTAAAAATTATGTTTAATAATACACCAACCATTAATTTAGTATCAGTTTATAAATATGAACAAATTATTTTAAGAGAAACTATTTTCTTCTTCATGTAAAGGTAAAAGAATAAATGCTTATAACTTCACTTCTGAATACCTGCTGCTTCTTGCCCTGTCATAGCATCCACAACTAACAAAATTTCTGTTGGATTCAGTACCCGTTTCACTTCTTTTAACTCGTCCATCATAGCTTTGTCTATCTGTTTCATAGTAAATAACAACGTTGATGAGCATATGAGAATTTATTCAAACATTAAAAATATCATAGACAATTATTCGTTATAAAGTTTCCAATCATATAAAGAATTACCTGCAGCCTACCAGCAGTGTCAACAATAACCACGTCAATTTTCTTCTTTTTGGCCTCTTCAAAACCTTGTTTAGCAATCACTGAAGGCTTAACATCAGTACCTGCTGAATAGACAGGCACATCCACCTGATACAAGCTATAACTAATTATAAATATGTAACTAGACGCAAATAGAGAGAATACATATCAAGAGGTAAGCCAAATAATGCTAATTGGATCTTGAATCTTGATATTAGATTCCTGAATTCAATTTGTTAAAACATGAGGCTCTGTTTACTTAGTGAAAACATTTTCTGTTAACTTGCTAATAAGATGTGAAACTCTTAAAATGAACAGTTGTGATGGAGAAAAGATGAAATGCTAGTTAGACATGATGCATTTTTTAAAATTTTGAAAACAATCTTTTGACAAGTAAAATTAAAACAAGTTCTAAGAAATAAAAATAGAAAAACGTTTTGACAAAGTAAACAGGGTCTAAGAATGTTTGCGACATTTCTCTTCTTTCCTTCACAATTTTAGAGCCACGGATCATTAAGTAGACTGCAAGATGCTAAAGCACCACTGTTAGGAGTCCTACATTGAGTAGATAAAGTGTTCAATGTGGTACTTGAGCCACGAGACTCTCCCGCCTAATGGAATAGTCTTTTGGGTTGGACACTCCGCACAATTGGTGCTCTCTTTGAAAGTTTGACCTCAGAAAGGGCTACTTATATGCTGGATTAAGATACTCTACCAAATACAGAAACGTGAGTTAAGTTGCTAAAGAGGAAAGAGCTTCAATTGAGACAGTGCCGATAAAGCGAAATCCGCCATGAACGCCACCCTGAAAAGGGATGGAAATGTTAGGAGTCCCGGATTGAGCGGATAAAAGTGCTAAATTTGATAGGTAAGCCATGATGCTCTCCCACCCAATAGACTATTCTCTAGAATTGGGCTCTTCTCATGGGCTTAAATCTTAACAACCACCTATTGAGACTAGCATAATTCCTGTATCCCAGGAAACACATCATTTCTATTCTACTGCAATATACATAATACATTCTTCATCGGTTTCATACTAGCAAGCAACAATAGACTTCTGCAGGCCCCATCCAAAAAACTAAATTCAATTGAAAAATTAAAATGACATTGCTGACGATATGTAAGTGAGGTGTATGCATCATTAAAGAATTTGCAACATGTAAACAGCTTCAGCAAAACAAAATTTCAGTACCTGCTTGCCCAAAATAGTCAGCTGGTCGATAGCAGCAGGTCTGTAAACATCCCCAGCAACTAGCATGCAACTCTTACCCTGAGACCAGGTTAATATGATTTGTTTCAATAAGGCGAAGGAACTAAAAATCATCCAAATGTGATCAACAAGCATGAGGAAAGAGACTGGAAATACACCTGTTTCTTGAAATAAGTTGCTAACTTTGCACACACAGTTGTCTTCCCAACTCCCTGAAGTCCAGCCAATAAAATAACAGTGGGCCCAGACTTGGCAAAAGTCAGTTCAGAGACCTCTCCACCCATCAATTGTACAAGTTCATCTTGAACAATCTGCAAAACCCAACAATCAACCCCCACTT